TCTCCTTTTAGCAACAGTGTTCATATATTCTTCTATCTCATTTTTATAACACCGTGCCTGATATGATGATACTGGTCGCATGGCGAGGCATCAATCATCTCGCCCCCACGAGCTCAAGTTTCCTCGATCATATTTCCCTTATTCGGAGCCCCTCTAGAACAATCGGCAGGAGCCACAATAAGTTGGTTTCGAAAAAAACAGGAATATAATCGAGGAGAAACAAACCAAAGTGTTTCCTCATAACAAGAGCTAGTCATGTGTAATACTGTTCCAACTCTTCACTTACCATACCCTTGAGGTAATATGGAAAAACGTTGTTTCCATAAAAGCAGATGGTCATATATTCGTTTATGTATCAGCTGAAGTATAATTCATATCAAATACGTACTTGATCATGTTTTGATGGCTCAATCAAGTTTCTTAAAATTGGCTTTAAGCTTTAATGTATAACAGACATCAACGATCAAATTCCAAAATTACATATCAACGTACATTTTTTAAATCTGATTCAATGATTAATAATACTGTTTCATCAGTATGTATTCATTCTCGAAATTTTCATGTCTATTTCTATGGTTTTTCGTATTGTATTTCGTCTATGAAGCGATATTGAAAACAACACTGCAAAATTCATAGTCAGTTTAAAGATTGATTCTTATCCATTTCCCTTGTTAATTGAAGCGGGCTGTCAAGCGTCACATTGACAAGCATAAAATTGCATTGAAGCCAAAATCACGTCATATATTCTAGTAGTCATGTAACTCTACCCTATATTTGTCTGTGGGTTTGTAATGTCAATCATATGTATTTCCTCACTTTCTGTTTTTTTATCGGCTTTCATTTTTTGAAATTTTAGCTGTTATCTTAATAGTATTTTTCTGTTTTATTATATGTGATGAGTATGTGATGACACTTATTGTCTGCTTTATTCAATCAACCACGTATCAATCTAAGTACATTGTATCTATAACGGGATCTTGTTTAACCCGTATTACTCACTGCAACCGTATTCATCTCTATGTTTAGTTTTGAAATATCCTAATTCTTTCCATTTTAAATATGGTTGATATTTTGATTTAACCAGGTTACTCTTAAGATACTGTTTTCCTGATTTTACAAAGTTAAATTACTTTAGGTAGACGGTACGAGTAAAACATTTAAACAGTATTTATACATGCACTGATACATTTAAATTGGACAGCCTGTCAGCATGTCATGAAGCAAACCGAGCCTAAACAAGTACGGGAAATCCAAAAGCAATGTTTATTATTCCTGAAATAGTTGCAATGATGATAAATGTTGATAAGTGTACAGGTGTCGTAAATGAAGTGACATTATTTTCAACATCACATCAAAAAAACAAAATACATGTAAAATTGACGTGCTTCTGCCTCTGTTGTCTAGATTGTGAAATAAGGAAATCGTAAATGATTTGACATTATTTTCAACATCACATTAAAAAAATATATATACATGTAAAATTGACGTGCCTGCCTCTGTTGTCTATATTGTGAAATTAGGAAAGGTCTTTCCTGAACAAGCTACATTGTTATGAAACACTTCTAATTTAAGTATTTTTTAACGAAGTTTTTAACATGGTTCTTTCCATTGTTACATTGTATGTGACTTGATCAGCTGTTTGCGGTATTCTTGTATGAGAATTTAGAAATTTTATCAATTCCTAAGTGCAATTTTCAGTTTTCTGGAAAACCTGTTTTTGTCACTGGTTATCCTGTATGTGTATTTCCTTTCAGTATGGCCACTACACGTACCCGATGTCCATTGTGATTTTACCGGCAATGACTTAGGTTTTCTCCTTATATGTTGGCGCTGTGATATACGACGTTTAATTGTTATTTTTCTCGTGTTGGTTTACTGCAAGCAGTGACGCCTGACGCTGCTATTAGAAAACATATCATTCGCAATGTTTTGGAGGAGTATTTGACATATAAATGTACATTGAATATGTCACAAAATCACAAGAGTGTGAAATCAGCTTTTGCAGGAACTCCTAGCCACGTGATCGTATTTACACTTTTATATGAGCCGGAAGTTGTATATCCATGGAACTTCATCACAGCAAATCATAGCTCTATTATATTACAGCCTGAATGAAGTACGTGTATAATACAATGAAATGCAATTATAGAAACATGTAGGCTAAGTACTGTATGTATTTTCCCGTAATTAGCTATATGAAGTCGGGCAGGTGTACGCAATATTACCCAAGGGGCTTTGCCTACTATTACGTAAGATACGACAAGAGTTTCATAACAACAAAGGGAAACCGGATTTCCGCAAAGTAACTAATATCGCGATGCATGACAGGGATTTGTCAACAATCAGATATACAAATAGCTATGTAATGTTCATTGATTGGTTGCTAACTCAATCACATCAAGAGTCTGCATACTGTCTGCTATTGTGTCTGTTTGGAATATTTTACTATGGTCAATAACAAGTGTTGGTGTGTCGGCGATGGTATGTTTAAATATATGAATAAAAATGAATTCTGCGACTTGTTCTTATCTCTAAAAATTCCTTGATCCAACGTCCTGTGATACTATCTTGATTTGCATACGTCATAGGGGATAGTATTGGTGTTTCTCATGAAATAATGTTACGTTGAATCTCACTCCAATATAATGGTTTGCATATACGTTCGATATGGTGTAAAGTGGTACATTATTAGACTAGTATCTTCCTCTGACAATGATTAATGCATATATTATTACCCTAGGAGAATAACAACATTAAAACTACGCTCACGGGACTTTAAAATATGAAGACTTCATTGGTAGTATGCTTATTTCATTTCCTGCTAAAACGAAATATTATCATTTGCAAGTATTTGGGAACTCATATTCCGTCTTTGCGTATTGCAAAATTATCTTCTTTTGGGAGCAGGTATTGGTTGTTACGTCACCTGTTTGTGAGAGTAACGTCATCATTGTTTGAGAAAACGACGTAATTTTCTGACACAAACCAATGACGTAACAGTCAATACCTGTTCCCAAGAGAAGATAACTCTACAATACGCAAAGTTGGAATATGAGTTCACAAATACTTCTTTCTGTAATTCACATATTATCGCTTTTAACACGAGGCGTTATTTGGAAGACACCTTAACTTAACAGAAAGCATCCAGATTACCAGTAAAATTATAACCTAGAACTTTAGAAGAATACATTATTTTAAAATATTTTTATTATTATTCTATATCGTTATTTTTGTGATTTTGACATTTTTACTTCTTGTTATTATTTTTTTGTGGATGAAAATACAATTTTACAGTTTAGAAATACCTATTGTCTAATTTATCTCAGACACAACTCTAGTTGTAGCAAACTTGATTCAGTTTTTTATGATGAATTATCTCCTTTTCCGATGAAACCTGCCAGATTCAGAGATAACACGGATTCCATTTCCGCCAAAGCTAAAGATACGATTCACATTAATTGGAGTCGAATCACATAACTGAATCGAAAACACCCCAGAAATACAATGTGGTGTTGTTGATAATCAAAAGTAAAGGAAGGGATGTGCTTGACACTGTATGCTAAACACACTCTCCTCTGCGTATACCCTTTCAGATGCGATAAACCATAGTTTCGATTTTCTCATGATCCTCTTGTTAAACAAATTTGCCTGAACATCAAATTAAATATTTCAACCACAACTCTGATCGATTGCCTTCTGATTGTGCAAACATTGCTGTAGCCTTTCACGAATATCACCTCAAATGAAGAAGCATAAATGCGTGCGTTGCTGTACTGCATACTGTAGTCAGTGCATATACAAGTATTAACAGGTGAATTGCACATCTATTCACGTAAGGTAACCACATTGAATTTGCATTCATAGCAGTATGGCGCTTCTTCTCAACAGCTTCATACAACAAGGGAATTTATTTTGGTCAATATTTCAAGGAAATATGATCGTTGATATGTTGTTTCGTCAACATCGTTTCTTTAAGCATACACACACAAGCGTCAGAAAGATTCTAGATTTAAAACATTAAATGATTACATAATAAGTAATAGCTATACTGCATATTATCGATATTTATATGATTGTCATACAGGAATTGAATGGCGTTTTTTGTTTTAATTTTCATGCCGGTATGAACGCAAATCGGTTACATCCTTCTAGCATGAAGCACGCTCGCTCATACCGGCATAAACATTTACAAAAAAAAATCGTTAAATAATTTTATTCGAAGCGAAGCTACAAGACTGTCATTGAACAAGGTATTGATGACGTCATAAATAAACCGCGTGTTACGTCACAAGAGTATTTGCTTTCATACGCAAATGAAATGCACTTCTGCTGGTAATGATCATATAGTGGGTTGCAGCGCAAATGTAAATATACCGTTATGAACGCAGCTAGCATATCGTAATTACAATAACACAATACCGTCTTATCTCTATATATTATCTACGCTATATAATGTACAACCTCGTTTGTATTTGTAAATTTGTCCGTGATGTTGACATTAATTAATCGCAAGAGCGTGTAATTAAAATTGTGACGCCATCAATGTTTGCTCTTGATAAGCTTTTATTTATGTACACATAAGGCGTGACGTCAAAATAAAACGACAACTTGTGACTGCGACGTCAGATCAAATCCTCCAACACAACGTCTTGGCGGGTCATTGTCAATATCCCGCCGCGTAACGAAACATAGTAATAGAAATTGCATTTGTTTCCAAATAACTGTTACGTAAATTTTCACTCGTTATAAAAAATGTTATGATATTTCAATTCGTGATTCTCATTCATAAATAAGATATCATAATAAATTGCCATATTCGTAAAATGTATATAACATTAAATGGAAAATAATTAAATATAGTTGTTTACCAGGTTTGAGTCAGACAATTGCCAGATATTTTTTTATTGACGCATTGTCCTCTCAAATTTATGGCAAAATATATCACAAACGAACAAGGAGTGATTGACAGCTATGAATTATACCGACGGATGTTTACATACCTGTAAATATATATATATATATATATCAGCCTTCACGTCTTCATGACCTTGAATCACGAATTCCACAGAGTGAAGCGTATTCTGTCTCAATCTGAAAGGAAATTATGGAAACGTTTAAAAACAAAGCAATAAGATAAATCCTACGAAACCATTATTCGAACTCAAAATTAATAAAACTAGGGCACAATATGAACAAGGGAAAGATGTTCACGGATGCCATACAAAAATACAACGAGAATAAGTTGTAAGTGTGTCCGTCAGCAGTCGACGTATATCACGGAAGTCATTATATTCGGGGCAAGATCTTGAATACCTAATCAACTACAACGTGTAGGGTAATCAAGAAAGGGAAAATTCACGATCAATGGATTTAGATAAGTTGTAAAACTTGTTTCCGAATCCTATTTTAACAATTGCGTTGCATTGTAACCAACCATTGTTGCACGAATGGGTATGGATTTAATACTATAGCAAATTTGGGAAATATGTGGATACACCTGCCAAGGGATATAGAAAACCTTGACTTAACCCTAGGGATGAGGCAAGGTGATAACAATTGTATGACGTCACATCAACAATGCGTTGAGCTCTTAACGTCAACATTTCATATAAAAAGTACAGGGTAAACAGGGTAACAGACAAAGAAGAGTGAGATGAGAGATCGTAACCCCCGGGTAAAGATTTTAAATTGCCAAACATTGAGCAAGCCTCGTATTTGGCATCTTTAAAGTCACTCTTCCATTATGTATCACACTCTCAAGGGGGTAACACATTATATTCACACAATTTATCTTAACTTTTTTTCTGGGTATTGTTATCAGAATACCGTATACCGGGAATTGTTCGCCCTGTCCAACTCTCACCCTAAGCTGGTTAAACCTCTATTCGCCCAATGTTTGCTTCGCCCTTCACATTTGATTGCAATATTTATTCCGTTATTTACTATTGTTAGCTCTAATGATTAATTCACCTTCATTAAAGAAGGTGAAAAAGGCGAAAGTAAAACCGCGGCAAAAATTTCCCGGTTTGAACAAGTCTTAAATCCAAACTACATAAAGAAACAAAGCAAAACAAAAATGCAATAAGAGTTGTTTACGGACGCTACACCGGAAGCTTACTTCAAGGTGCCTCGACATGAATACATATTAACCAACTTTAGATTGAAGTCCATACAATTTGTTTTGTGGGTGTTCAGTATCACAGGAACCACACGACCAGTACGTTTCGTGTTGAAGAGTGTAATGGTAACACTATTGTATGCTGGAGCTTTGGGAATAATTACTTTCCGGTTCGTTCAAGGTGGACTAACAAACTCCCTTGTCTGTTTGTCACGATACTCCTAGTAGTTGCTGGAGTTTCGGGAATACTTACTCTCAAATTTGACGAGACAATCAGTATGAAGTATGTTTAAGAGGTGCGGTAAACACCCCCCTCGTTAGTTTGTCGCGAAACTTTTAGCTGTCGTCGTATAGTTTGTCTTAATCACCCGTCGTGCATAATATCTTGTCTGTCAATAACATAGATCGCAGAAATGCATGACGATTCGGATTACAAAGGGACAGACTGATCCAACTTGTTTCATAGAACGTGTTTCTTTCCTTGTTCCAGACTGCATGCTATCAGAATTACACCGCTGGGAAGATTATTCCAAAGAAGGTCTATTCACTTATCGTCACAGGCAGACACTTTAGTTTAAGTGGTCTTTATTTATAAAAGAAGGGACATTAAAGGAACATTCTTATATCGTGGAAAGAAATAACTAAACACTATCCCTGTCAGCGTATTTATGAAGGAAGTGTTTTTATATCAATTTATATACAATCATATATATTTAGACTTACATAGCATCAGAAATTGTGTATTTTTAAATGGAGATGGATATTAAGTTTAATCTTCTCACGATATAAATTTGAAATAAATCGTTTAATATCGCCGGAGTAAAGACAACACTAATTGTAACCCGTTGAAAAGTGACGCTGAAAGCAGACAAAGAATATGATGGGAAAATGCTTTCTTGCTGGTAAGAACTTTTTTCCAGTGATGCGATATAACCCTGTAACTCGCTATATTTCTTTGCAATATTGAAGCGTCACCCTGAGATGCCTAGTAAGGCAAGTCACCAGTGGCTAGGGAAGATGCACTGGTACCCATGAAAGGTCCATTGGGTTTCCTAGGTCATTTCTCAGAGGAGGGATAATGTTGCAGCAAAAGAATATCAATATAACACTAGGACTCAACTGCTAAGCAATATCTCGCATGGTCAAAGGATGAACATGTTTTAAAAAATAGAGAAAGTTAAGAATTATTGTTTCAGAAACGCCATCTATCATTTTACATGTAACAAGGATTGCAAGGTCAGATTTACGATGAGTTTACAACTCAGATATGGAGTTGAACTCTGCAATCATCAAATGTAAAACAAATTTAGTATTGTCACAGATTGGTCCAGTTTCCAATCATTAGTTTTCTGTTGGTTAGGTTCCAATGTCTATTTTGACCGTGAAATGTAAATAAATGCAACCATTCCATAATGCACACAAAGAGACTCAAGTCCTGTGTCTTAATGATCGTAACCACAAATGTGTAATGTTTAAGATAGGAGAGGGCCATGACCACTACGTAAACAAAAAAACGCTTACATCAAAAGATACTTTGTCCGTTTTCTTAAATGCTCATAAAAGAACAAAACAAAATCTATTAAAAGGCTTGCTTGATAAACATCAAAAACGTTGAAAAACGGAACTATATATAACATCCATACAAATTCCGACATTTATGTATTATGTGGTCCATCCCTGGACATCCCATGTTACATCTGTATACCTCTAGTTTTAAGCCTTCGCCATTTATGGAGGCATTACGATATTTCTCAAATCGTGTTTCATCACAAAAATTAAGATTATTTGATTGAAATGGGATTAAGATTGTAACCTCATATTGCTATGGTGCCAAGCAAAATAGCGATCAAATTAAAAACAAACGGAAGTAAAATATTGGAGAAAACCCGAACATAAATGACTAAGTATCAACTCTATCTATAATCAACAATTCATATAAGAATCAAGCAGTGTTAAAACTATAGTGAATCATGAAATATCTTTGCAAGCAATAGTATTCTATACCATCATTCATGTTAAAAATATACATTTCAAGCCCTTATTACAAAGTTTGATATATTCACGAGAAGGCAAAGTTCATGTAACTAATTTTGTTGACAGGTCATTTCCGTCTAAATCAATATGTACTTGACATTCGATTTAATTGTGAAGATTTACATACTTATTGCTTAAATAACAAAACAGTTCGTATTATATTGCTATTTAACAAGAATCATGTAGCCTGGTTTTGAGGAGGTTCAGTGAAGCCTTATCCAAGATAATCATGAATCGTTTTTATTGATTGTGTAGGTAACCGATGTTCGTGTAATTTTATAACAATATTAATGTTACCGGGCTGTAAATCACTGTGACAACAAGCTTTCTGTTTGGAATGTTGTAGTGTTGTAGTGGTAAAAATGGAAGTGTTGTAGTGGTAATAATGTAGTGTTGAAGTGGTACAATTGGTAATGGTGTAGTGGTGAAAGTGGTAGTGGTGTTGGGGTGAAAGTGGTAGTGGTGTTGTGGTGAAAGTGGTAGTGGTTTAGTGGTGAAAGTGGTAGTGGTGTAGTGGTGAAAGTGGTAGTGGTGTTGTGGTGAAAGTGGTAGTGGTGTTGGGGTGAAAGTGGTAGTGGTGCTGGGGTGAAAGTGGTAGTGGTGTTGTGGTGAAAGTGGTGGTGTTGTAGTGGTGAAATAGTAGTGTTGTAGTGATAAGAGTGGAAGTGGTAGTGTTGTAGCGGGGAAGGTGGTAGTGGTGTATTGGGGAAAGTGGTAGTGGTGTAGTGAGGAAAGTGGTAGTGGTGAAATGGTACAAGGCGATAGTATTTTTGGCTAGGCGGTAAAGTGCCGTATATCGTGGGATCGAAACCAAGGCAGGACACGAACCAAGAGCTAGTTTTACTGCATCATTTGTCTTTCTGTGTTACGTTTCAAATTACATGTAACAAACACTAATTATTCAACCTTAATTGATTCAAAAATGTGTACAAGTTATTAGACGGTTTTGTTTATGAACAATATAACACACATATATTCACGTCACAGGGGAAACAAGCATATGCATGGGGTTTAACTTCCTAGCAACAGCAAAGTTGCAAGGACTCTGCTCTGAAAACTGGTGCCTATGGATATGACATCAACAGGAAGTAGGTTGAAAGAGAGAAAAACAGATCACACGTGATGTAATCGGGGCAGCAGATCTATTCTGTTTTCTTTAGCGTCCTCTTAGTAAGGACGGGGAAGAAAACCACTGATTCTGCAAGTGCTCCACGTCAATTGCCTCTTACGACATGCAGCTTGGATACCGTACGTCTGTTCTTTCCCCGAGCTTACACAGGACCAAATAAATGCGTTGAAGTTATAAACCTGTTACAAGTTTGTCTAACGTTAGCTTACCCATGATACGACCTCCTCCAAGTTAAATATATATTTTAAGAGACCACTTTTAAATGTTATTCCTATTGTAGTTTGTTTCGATCTCATTAAAATCAGATGTTAATAAAAAAAAATACCTAGGGCTATTAACGCGGTACGTGATAATGAACAGCTGTATTTATTCAGATTGAGTTTGTTTATGCTAACTAAACCAATGTTAAGATTACACCTGCATACAATACATTACTATCTTCCGAATGATGATCTCTCGGTACTAGTTGCATTGTGCAAGGTTATCATTCGTAGAACGTGGGTGCTTAACACCAAGTTTAAAAGCTTTCGATATCAGGTGGCATCGTTCAGTATTAAGTGAAATGCCTCCTTGGTTTAGCGATAGATATTCACTTAAAGTGTTTTTAACTTTAACAAAATACTACTTTAAACGTGTATAGATACTCTGTAAGCCTGCGTTAAGAAACATAAAACATCCGTTGTGTAATAAGTATATTTTAATGTTGATTAAATCCTGACTTTGTTGCTGATAATGTCGTTTGATAAATAATTGAAACCAGTCATGATTGGTTTTGATAATTTGTCAAAGTGATTATCTTCTACTCAACCC